AATGTTTTTTATTGATTTAATTGATAAGTATATGGATCATGCAAATTTCTGGATCAGTCATCATAATTGGATTCTCATGACAGAGATGTCGTTGTGCATGCTTCCTAATTTGGCCTGAAGTGAAGAGGTTTGTTCTTACTTCTCTATTTGGCCTAATGTATTGTTTACTGCATTTTGGAATAGGTTGTCAAAGGAGTCAATGCTTTGAGAGATCCTCAAACTTATGACTTACTATGTGTTCACAACCTTAAAATCTAAACATTGGTATGGATGGAATGTACTATACCCACTCTTCAAAGGTTGAAGATTTAAATGCTCATTCATTAATTTTATATTTAAAATATTAATCTGATGATGATATACTAAACGCATTTATAAGTATTAAGGATTCAAGACCGCAACCAATATATTTTTTATAATGTCAACTAGCTTACCTAGTGATAGATTTAACTACTGATAACATCTTGGGATCAAATGCCATCTTGATTGTTTACTTTAAAAAAAATCAAAACTTTATTATATATTAATGATAAACGAAGCATAATGTTGGAGGATTTATTTGGGTGTTTTAGAGGATCATATAATCATCAAGCTAAACACTGTGCTTTAGCACACCCTTGAAAATTACAAGGTTGAAACTTGGAGAAAGATGAATTTTGTTGTCACAGACATTTACTGCAACACCTTTTTCTCTCTTTGGTGAACGAGTGGATGGTCATAAATTATTTCATGATAGAATGGTTCTTGGAAACCAGCTTGATTATTATTCTGTTGTCTAATAAAAAAGGAAAAAGATTTCAAGCGTACAATGAATGTCTCAATTTTATAATAACTATAAATTTTTTAGTACGGTGCCAATCTATGATTTGTTTCTCAATAGTACTTCCATAAATTCATAAAAATTCTTTAGGTTTCTAAAAAAAACACTCTTTTTTCAGTCTCATGATCATGCTACAATAAAAAAATATATATGATAGTTTAAATAATTAATATTATATTAATATTTAATAAGGTTCGATGACATACACGATCGAATTATCTCGAAGTACATTTTAATAATATGTATAACCCATTTTACTCAAGACGTATCTGTAGGACAAATGTAGCCGAAACGATTGATCTCATTTGATTTGCTTGGTTAGTTAAAATGGATCACTTTTCGACTCGATCTGATAGCTCTTGATGGATGCCTCAAATGATTATGGAATAAGAACATGGAAGATACTTCAACATCATATGGTCGATATTCTCAGTGTCACATAGCCAACGTCTTAGTAGCACATGATCAACACCTTAGCCCTAAGTTGAATAGACCAGATGTTATTATATCTCGGATTCAATACACCATGATCGTAATTAATCTCGAAGAGGCATACCACCTTCTTCGTATCTAGCATCGACCACGAGAGTAATAATAGTAAGAGCTCATTATAAAAATACTTACCCGTTATAAAAAGATATACCTCTTTCTCCCAAAGAGTATAAGTCAAATCATCTAAACTCATTCTAATTTGGGCATGATAGGAGCGTTATTAAAAATACCCTTAATATAATTTTGTCTGATTTGAGAAAATCGAAGTGGGGGTAAGAATGGTATCGACTAAAGTCAACTTAGGACTATTAAAAAAGAAGGGCTTTGGACTCAATATCTAATTTGGATAATCAAAAACTAACTTAACGCCATTATATCTTAACCTTTCACACACAAATAACATCTTGATAGTGAATTCATATTTTATTTTATTTTATATTTTAGATCCATATTTAAAATTATTTTTATTATATATATTATAAATATAATATCTTTGATTAATTTCACAAGGAAAAGATTAAGATTGAATTGTATCTGATGAATGCATTATTATTAATTTTTATTTAAATATTTTGACTCTCCAAACAAAATTGATAATTTAGTTAATTTGTCCGACCAAAATCATGACATTTGGTATAGAGTTACACATTCTTTGCACCAATCAATAAAGATAAACTAAAACGAATATGAGAACAAAAACAAGTTTGTTGAGTTATCGCAAGCTGCATTCGTAGCAAACGGGACAAAAATATCATTGGTCATGATCCCTAACGACTCCGAACCCAGCAAACCCGTCGCCGGCGGAGAGATCCTGCAAGGTGGTGATCTCTGCCGCCTTTAGAGTCCCTCAATCGGCCGTGGTAATCACTGTTGCAATCAACATCCATTCGTCTCCTGTCGGTGATCTCAAACGTCCGCCTTAATCAATGTTATTGTCGTTGTCGAGATTCGATCGTCGTCGCTTAGGCTTCCGGTTATAGTAGAATTTCTCTACCCTTGTCCCTCTCACCATGACTACCACTTTTATTTTTCTCTTATTTTGCAGTACTGCCCAACAATCATGATCTGCTACGCCGTCAGTGGAAGAGAGGGAGAGGAGCCAGCCGGCGGGCCAAGGAATCCATGGGGCAGTCGGATGAGGTATGTAGATGGAAGCTACGATTTCTTTTCCACCTTCGATGATATAGTTTCTCTTTGTTTCCAATGTCGTGATATTTGAACCACTGATCGACTTTCACAGCGAATGAAGTTGCAGGAAATAGATTATGGGGTATACTAGCTTCAATGGTATGTCAACGGCTTTCCTTTTAAATGGTTTATGATATGATGTTGTAAGTGCATTCTCGAAACAAGACTTGTTGGTATTGCAGGTACGGATGATGCCGGATTTGCTAGG